GGTAATGAATCATGCATTATAATCAGTGAATCATTTGTGAGATATCAAATTGTGTTCCTAAAAATCTGTTACACACTTATTTATTAAACACTTTGTTTTTGACCTTATATAAAGATAGGAAGTGTACAGTTGTGACCTCAAAGAACACGGTTTAAGGGATCTATATCAGGAGAGAGCTGCATATGTATGTATATGTGGTCATGGGAATTAGAACATCCTGGGAAATGCAGAGACTAAGAAAGCGGAACAAGCTATAGATTGTCTTTATTGTGGAATCAGGGATGAATAAGATGTTTCAATTCAGAGTGATTGAGGCAGATCATAGAGGAGGAGAGTCCATAGGGAGCAAAGGCCTCAAGAAGAAAACTGTGAGATTTGTAAAAAAGCCAAGCTATTGTTCATGTAGCTCAGTAGAAGGAGTCAAGGCCACAAGAATGAAGCTGAGCTGTCATGTGAGGTCCCTTAGAATAAATCTAAGAAGGTAAACAGAGAATAGAGTTGAGAGCAGTCTCTGGAGCCTGGACACCTGGCTTATCCAGGAAATTTCCAAGGGTCATGGGGCAAGATGGTCATATGTTCTGGTCTGTCCATGTGAGTACAATGCAACACGTCCAGTATTGGAATGGATGTCTCCATAGAGAAATTTGCGGGGACACTGGGGACTGACTATCTCAAGGTGGGCTGCCCAGTGTCTTCCCAGGGCCAAGTATGGTAGTCGAGGGAAGTTCCTGGTGTAGGAAAGGACTTGGTGATTTGAACATCAGATATCTTGCTGCCAACTAAGATATCTCCCCAACAAACAGCCATCCCAAGTTTTCTGTTCTGTACAAGCTTTTCTCTACCCCAATTAAAAGCTTTGCAAAGTGCTAAAGAGGACAAGATTTAAATTCAAAGATATGAGATTGATTTCCCAGCAGTCCTGGTAGGTGAGCATAGAAGCAATTTTATAAAATGTAGAGGAAAAAAATATGAGTTATCCTGTCCCTAAATATGTATAGTGATAAAGACATACACCCCTAATCTTGATAAATAAAATACTTGAAGACCATCTAAACGTGAGAATAACTCTTTTTGCAGGTTTTTGTGCAGATGCATGAATCACTGAGAAAAGTCTCTTGAATAATGATGCTACTTCATGCCACACATGGCAAGACCTTTCAAATACCAAAAGGCATTTATCTGACTGTATATCATGTCTTCCATGAGCTGATGGCCTGTTCAAATGAACTCTTACTACATATTTAATTTCCCCTAAGATATAAGCTCAGCTCCTCTATGGTATTATCTGTAATTTACAGTTGCTCAAATATTTTGTCCTAGCAAGTGGCCAGTAAATACTTGTCACAAAATTGTGAAACATTGGAGGACAGCAGACTACTCCAGTTTCTGTGCTTCATTTGGGGACAAAAGGCAAAGTCACACTCTCTGGAGGCAAAAGTATTAGACCAGCAGTATTAATATTCCAAGCTTTCTGGCTCTCATTTTTTTTTTTTTTTTTTTGACAGGCAGAGTGGATAGTGAGAGAGAGAGACAGAGAGAAAGGTCTTCCTTTTGCTGTTGGTTCACCCTCCAATGGCCGCGGCTGGCACGCTGTGGCCGGCGCACTGCGCCGATCCGATGGCAGGAGCCAGGTGCTTCTCCTGGTCTCCCATGGGGTGCAGGGCCCAAGCACCTGGGCCATTCTCCACTGCACTCCCTGGCCATAGCAGAGAGCTGGCCTGGAAGAGGGGCAACCAGGAAAGAATCCGGCGCCCCGACCGGGACTAGAACCCCGTATGCTGGCGCCGCTAGGTGGAGGATTAGCCTATTGAGCAGCGGCGCTGGCCTCTCCTTATTCTTTACATAAATACTGGTGGGTCTTTTCTCGGCCAAGTTACTGTTTTTTGATTCTCCCCAGAGAATGATCACTATCAGATGTCCTGAAAAAACGTGGCAGTTAAAAAACATAGCTTTTACTTTTTAAGATTGAATTATTTATTTGAAAGTCAGAATTACTAAGAGGGAAGGAGGGAGTTGGAAGGGAGGGAGGGAGAGAGAGAGGAAGAGAGACAGAGAGAGACAGAGAGAGAGAGAGAGAGAGAGAGAGAAGAGAAGAGGAGAAGAGAGGAGAAAAGAGAAGAGAAGAGCACAGAAGAGAAGAATATCTTCCATTTACTGATTCATTCCCTAAATGGCCACAATGGCTAGGGCTGGGCCAGGCCTGAGCCAGGAGCCAGGAGCTTCATCCAGTTCTCTATGTGGGTGGAGGGGCCCAAGCACTTGGCCATCATTTGCTGCTTTCCCAGGCACATTAGCAGGTAGCTGGGCTGGAAGTGGAGCAGCTGGGTCTCTCTTGGCAAGCGCTGAAGATGGTGTCTTAACTTGCTATACCACAGTACTGACCCTAAACATAGCTTCTTTAATGGAGGCATTTGCAGCTGATGTGGGATATTTTTTCAAATGAATGAGAAGCACTTGAAGGTGCACCTGACCCAGCAGGTGTTGGGGCGGATACATAAGGACTGGGACACCAAGCAGAGCCCCATTATGTCCAAGGTAAGAACATTGTCAAAGTTGTGCTTTGGAATGAATGTCACCAGTCATAGGTAAATTTCATGAACACACACATATAAGTTCATGTCTTTCTATTCTATGCACTGAGTAAATAACTGTGTTCTTGGCAACTTATGCTTCAACTGAATAATAGAAAGAAAAAAGTCACAATCAATCCAGAGAGCAAATAATGCATCCATGGATAATTAAGAACTGACTCATTTCTCTGACTCTGTGATTCATTTTGTTGTTTTTCTGGCTCTTATTACCTTCTCATTGTTCCTAATTAAACTGTTGTTTGCTGTCATATATTGTTCTTCTGTCCTCTTTTTGACCCCAAGACATCCACTTTCCTTGCCTTCCTGAATATGTCAGGGTAAATAATGAAATTATAAATTACATTAAAATAAAAGTTGATGTTTTTATTTGGGTGCAGAATGGATTGCAAAGTGGGATAAGGGAGGTTCAGGCAGACATTTAGCTGATTGAACCATTGCTTTTCTGAGAAACATGATCCTGTTTTTCTTTAAGATTTATTTTATTTGTTTGAAATGCAGAGTTACAGAGAGGCAGAGGCAGAGAGAGGGAGAGATCTTCCATCTGCTGGTTCACTCCCCGATGGCTGCAATGGCTGGATCTGGGCCGATTTGAAGCCAGGAGCCAGGAATTTCTTCTGCGTCTCCCACATGGGTGTAGGGGCCCAAGGACTTGGGCCATCTACTACTGCTTTCCCAGGCCATAGCAGAGAGCTGGAGCCGGGACTTGAAGTGGCAGCCACATGGGATGCTGACACTGCACGTGGCAGCTTCACCTGCTATACCACGGCGTCTGCCCCTGGGTTTTTATATGGCAATGAAAAAACAGGTACACATAACTCAGCATACTTTGGAGATAATGAGCTGGACTGAAACAATCCTGGCTTATTGGGGTGGTTGTAAATTTTGCAAGCCCAAAGTAATGTCAAGGTCTGGGGGCAAAGGGTCCACTCTAGAATTTATTGAGTCTTTTAAAGTATTTTTGGGTTCTGGACAATTGTTCTCTGATAGATTCACCTCCTGACATGATACCAGGGTGACAATTCATCCCTTTTAGTGAAATCTGTAATGTTCAGAAAATGCTTTTTTGTCTTATTTTGAAAATTTTGCAGTTATTTTGATTTTTGTATTGTCACCAATACCTTCTTCCCTCAGGTCTTTGTACCTTTTGTTCCATCTGTTTCAAATTCTGCCCCTCCCCCGGCTGATCTGCCCCTGGTTATTGCTGTTAATTTATCAAAACCACATCTAAAACAGCACCTACTCCTACAAGTTGCCATGAGCTGCATACAGGTGGTTGCCCTCATCAGTCAGTCTATTGCATCAATCCAGTTTTTTGGTTATGTTGTGTTTGATACAGCAATTAGCTCTTTCCAATACCTGTCATTTATTATTAGGTTGTTCTCTCCTTTCCTGCCTAGAAAGTGAGTTATACAAGAGCAAGGACCTGGTTTTTATTGGTCTTACAACTGAATATGCATCACACAGCACAGAGCCTAGCTCACACGTGAGGCTCCCTTGTCAGGTGAACAGCAAGGGCTGCATATGTTATTGAATGGAGTTGTCCAAGAGCAGGACATGGTCAGATGTTGCCTTCAGGATTCAAATCCATGTCTATGTGGGTCCAAATCTTATCACCATGCACCATTCACCACTGCCTGAGCAAACAGTTACTCTACTAATTTCACACCACCCTTTGAATCAGTGTAAGGGAAACTCTAAAAATCTAACAAAGAAAAAGCCAAAATTAATTTACAGGTTTATGAGTGAATTGGTAAAGTTAATTAAGTGAAATAATCCTTAAAACAGAGAAAAGCAAAGCAAAAACCAAACCATAACCTTTACTAACGTTTGCTGTTAGCAAGTTTTCCCTAAACTTAAGGCATTTTACTGCAAGTGTCTACGAGTGAGATAAGTCTGCCTCCCAGGGTAGGTGTGTGGTATTGCACATAGACCAACAAAAAACCAGCACAATGGACATAAAGGAAATTATGCTGTTCACACCTTGAAGAAGAAAAAAGAAGAGGAACAAGAACCACAGGTGGTGGTGGAGAAGACCACTATATAATAAATACAGCACAGATGACAATGCAACTTATAGTTTGTAATTTGCATTGTATTTTGAATTCATTCGCTGTGTACCATTGCTGCAGTCCCCATTGCTGTGTGCTATTACTGAAGTCCCATAATAGCCTTATGTTCAAACGTTTGTCTCCTTAGTTTTTGTAAACAGATCACAGATTGTCCTGGCTCTGGTTGGTCTACACTGTTGGTTTTTGATACAATGCCAGGTTGATCCTGTGACTCATTTCCTCATTCCTGGGAGGGATTAAAGTGGCTAGCTGGGGCATAAATAGAGAAGTTGTGAGTAGTCAGTCCAAAGTGTTTTCCTTCATCTCTGTCACGTACAAACTCACAGCTAACAACAGTTACCTCAACATGAAGCTGATTGTGGTCCTCATGCTGGCTGCCCTCCCTCTTTACTGCTATGCAGGTGAGTTCTGTGCAGGGAAGACTGCCTTTGGAATAGTGATTGTTACCAGGGCTACTGAAGATGACATTGATGTCTGGAATCCAAAGTACACGTCAGCTGTAGTTCAAAGGATTGCGATGCCATAGACGATAGGATCACCATTAATTCCAGATAATCCAAGAGGTAGTTTTCTCACAGGGTTTTTTCTGCATTGGACCTGCATGTAGTTTCTCATTTCCATTCAGTGGGTCCCAACATGGTCACAACTACTGTGATCACTGGAGTGGGTCTCAGGCTTGAGTACTGGGATTATGCATCTCAGTGAGGTACAGGAAAGATATTCATGATGGTCTTGTGACCTTGGAATCCAGATGGGTTTCCTGAAGGATACATCGATGAGTCACCTTCAATGTAGAAGGAAACAGGAAACCTCAGAGAGCAGACAGAGCCTGCAGTGTGAGATAACAGTGTCTAAATCAACTTGGGGACTACATAACACACATTTGTGGTGCTGACGTGAGCCCTCTCCGAAGACTCTTTTGCTCCTATTCCCTTTGTGTTCAGGGAAGTAGAACTCGGATCTGAGTTCTGACCTGGGAGGAGAACTCACACTTTCTGCCGTCTCTTCCCAACAACGAAGATTCAGTAAGAAGAAAATGTCCAGGCAGCAGAATCTGGTCAGCACAGTAACATCACATGTGTAGTGTAGTGAGCTCTGTGTAATTTACAAAGCTTGTTTAGATAGCCCACCTCATTGATTCCCAAAAATGGTACTGATTGCCCAAAATAGGACTTTTTCACTGTCAACTAGTTAGTAAATTGCAAAGCCAAAAGCAAAAATAGCTCATGTGAATCCAAGTCCTCATTTCTTTTCCCTCACCACAATGGTGGCAACATCAGATTCTTGGATGAACAAGTAGTTCTATTTTACATGCTATGTCGATACAGATAACAAGGTTAATGGAGTTAACAGACTATATTCTAGACTCAGTATATTTCTATGATATGGGAAGTCATACTTGACACTCTGAATAATTGTGAGGGGTGGTATGATGTTGAGCAAAGAAAGACCAAATGATGTTTAATATATTCTACCAAGTATGGACATCTAATTGCTTGAACTTCCTAATTAGGCAAGTTTGCATGGGATATAACTTTCATCTTCTGAGAGAGGGGTGGGGAAGGAGTAGACACTGCTTGGTGTAAACAGACACCCACAACCCAAGTTTACTCTCCTAAAGTTGAGAATTCTAGACATAACTATATTTTTTCTAGATCCATACTTATGGGAGTTGTGAGAAGATGACTAACATCATAGGTACACCACCAATTGTGTTAATATCTCTGGTAATGAGCCCATTTTCTCATGTTGTCTTCTAGGTTCTGGTTGCCCATTTGTGGAAAAGATGGTTAAAACGACACTTAATTCTAATGTGTCTACAGCTGAATACATAGACGTTCTCAAGAATTATATCAATGATGAACGCACTGAACTGGCTGTAGTAGAATTCAAAAACTGTTTTCTCTCACAGTCTGAGGAGACCCTGAGAAATGTTGTGGAGATGATGGTAATTTCGATTTCTTCTTATTTACTTTTTAAAATCACTCTCTGGGAATTAGCAGGCTCCAAGTTTCTTACGAATGAAGGCAAAGCCACAGATATATATGCTTTAAAAGTCATATAATTTAATTGTGTAGTGAGTCTAATGTCTTTCCTTAGGGAAGTCATTCAAGGTCTCAAGGTTGTTTTGTCACTTTACTTTGAGAATACTAAGTGAATAATAAATGCAAAAGGCAAGAGAGAGAAAAGAAAGCTCATAAAATGGCTTACCTATCTCTCAGTTCTCCAGAACACACACACACACACACACACACACACACACCCCTGAGCAGGAGCACACACACACACACACACACCTGAGCAGGAGCACTCACACACATGGACACATACATACAAACACAGGCACATATTTTCTATCAAGAATACAAATTCCTGATCTTTTAAAAATTTAAAATTTTCTTATAGAAGGTGAAGAAATTTCATGTATTTCATATATATAGATTTAGGAGTATAATGATATTTCCTACCCTACCCTACCTTCTGCCGACTCTCTAATTTCCCTTCTCCTTCCTTTCTTATTCTTTTTAAACAATTTTTACAATGATATATTTGCAGTTTGTTTTATAATCGTAAGATTAATCCTATACTAAGAAAAGAATTCAACAGATAGTAAGAAGAAAGTACTTTCCCTCAGCAACAGAGACAAGAGTTGTAAGCAATAGTCAATTCTCAATATTATATTAGTTACCCACTATATTAGTTACCACAGATCAAGGAAAACATATGATGTTAGTATTCTTGAGACTGGCTTATTTCACTAATGGTTTCTAGTTGCATATATTTTGTTGTGAAGGACAGGACTTCATTATTTTTATGGCTGAGTAGTATTCTATAGAGTATTTACACCAAATAAGGCATCAGCTGATGTGAATCTGGGTTGATTCCATATCATAGCTATTGTGAACTGAGCTGCAATAAACATGGGGGGTACAGATCACTCTTTCATATAATGATCCCATTTCTTTTGGATAAATTCCCAGGAATGGGATGACTGGATCATATGATAGATCTATTATAAGATTTCTGAGGAATATTCATATTATTTTCTATAATGGTTATATTAGTTTTATTCTCACCAACAGAGAATTAGGGTATGTTTTCCTTCACATCCTTGATATCATTTGTTGAGAAACTTCTTATTCTAGAAGCTGTCACTTATGTGAGTGATCAAGAAAGATCTTTAAGATCTTTCTTTAAGATCCCCTTAAAGAAACCTCATATCTTGGGCAGATGTTGTGGCACAGCTACTAAGCCTGTGCTTGAAATACCTGTATGCTACATCAGAATGTCTCAACTCCACTTCAGTTCCAGCTTCCTGCGATATAGCAGGTGATGACTCAAGTACTTGGATTTCTGCCATCCAAATAGGAGACATGGATGGAGTTCTGTGCTCCTAGGTTTGTCTTGGTCTGGCCTTGGCTGTTGTAGGCATTTGGGGAGTGAACCAGAAGGTAGAATATCTCTGTTGTTCTGTCTTTCAAATATAAATAAATATTAAAAGCACAAGTAGTTAAAATCATAATTCTTTATATAAAATTCAGAAAATAGCATTTACCTGGTATACTATGTACCTAATTCAAAGAATTTGGCATGTGCTTTTTTAATAAAAGAATTATTTTATTTATTTGAAAGACAGAGTTATAGATACTGGTTCACTCCCCAAGTGACTGCAATGGCCAGAGCTGAGCTCATCTGAAACCAGGAGTCAGGAGCTTCTTCTGGGTCTTCCACATGGGTGCAGGGACCCCAGGACTTGGGCCATCTTCCATTGCTTTTCTGGGCTATAGCAGAGAGCTGGATTGGATGAGGAGCAGCCGGGACTCAAACTGGCATCCATATGCTGGTGCTGCAGGCTGAGGCTTTAACCTGCTGCACCACAGTGCTGGCCTCTGGCATGTACTTTTAAAATATCAAATTTGTTAGCGCCCATGTTTGGAAATTTTGAAATCTTTCATTAAGCACCTAATTATGGGAATATAATGAGTGATGGGATTGTTTAAAACAAAAATCTATAATGTAACAATGAGTATTTCTCTCCAATTGTAAGTACATGTCAGTTTCTTTAGCATTGATTTAACATTCCAATATTCTATTTAAGGCATTACATGGAAGAAAACTTAGAAATATACCAACACCGTAAGAATAAAATGACCAGCACCTGCTCTTGAGGTTAAAGAATTGTTTTTAAATTTAAAGCCAAAGTAGATGATTCATTCCCGATGTCAAACTCCAATATGTTGTAGGGTACAAAGGTAATTGTGGAGACCTCAATTTGCTTTCAATGTTTCTGACTTTTAAGACCATAGAGGAACTTAAAATCACCACATCCTTTTATTAATGTTGAGAGTTTTAACAATCCTGTGTTGAAAGAATGCTGAGGGATCAATTAAAAATGGCAGGTTTTCAACAAGTGCTACCTCAAGCATATTTTTTTTATTTTTTTTATTTTTATTTTATTTTATTTTATTTTTTTGACAGGCAGAGTGGACAGTGAGAGAGAGAGACAGAGAGAAAGGTCTTCCTTTGCTGTTGGTTCACCCTCCAATGGCCGCCGCCGTTGCGCTGCGGCCGGCGCACCGCGCTGATCCGATGGCAGGAGCCAGGAGCCAGGTGCTTTTCCTGGTCTCCCATGGGGTGCAGGGCCCAAGCACCTGGGCCATCCTCCACTGCACTCCCTGGCCACAGCAGAGAGCTGGCCTGGAAGAGGGGCAACCGGGACAGAATCCGGCGCCCCAACCGGGACTAGAACCCGGTGTGCCGGCGCCGCTAGGCAGAGGATTAGCCTAGTGAGCCGCGGCGCCGGCCTACCTCAAGCATATTTATTGGATAAATTATTTCGAAGAACATGAGTTGGAGAAAGAAGTAGTAAAGGGTCCTCTGTTGGGGGAAAGGATCTGGCAATACACCTCTTTGTACCTCTTTGGCATCAGTGAATGGGTTTGGAACGATAGAATATGTCAGTAAATAATCTGATTCTACTTGCAGCACTGTCTTGGATGCTATACATTTGTTGGAAAAATGCAGGGAAAAAGTAGTAAGAAAAGTTTTGATTGTCAATATTTGAGTTTACAAGAGAGAGTTGAAAATCTAAGTGACATCTCTGTTTTTGCTTTCCAGGAAACAATATATAATAGCAAACTGTGTGTTCATTTTTAAGTTCCTACAAGACTTTTGGCTCAGAGGACTACAGACTACAGTGAGAATATGTTGATGCTATAAATTGCATGTTTCTTTCTAATTTTTCCTGCTTATCTACAAACTGCAAGACAATTGTTGAAACCTCAAATGCATTTTGATTTCAATAAACTGTAAAAAGCTAAAGGTTTTTTTTTTGTGATGGCATAAAAATGTAGGCTTTTGAGGGTCTTGGAGATCACACAACTGCGGACACACGCAGTTGCACACACCAACATTCACTGAGGAACTCAGAGTGCAGGACTGAACACTCTGAGAAGCACTTGATTCTTCACAGGGGGTAGTCAAGCATCGGGTCCCCGTTGTAACACTGCTTTCCTCCCTGCTTGCAAGCATCTTGTGCATCTCTGAGGTCCTCAGCCTTGGGATTCTTTTTTTTTTAGATTTATTTATTTTACTTGAAATAATTACACAGAGAGGAGAAGCAGAGAGAGAGAGAGAGAGAGGGAGAGAGAGAGAAGGGGGGGGGGGAGAGAGGTCTTCCATCCGATGGTTCACTTTCCAATTGGCTGCAATGGCCGGAGCTACGCTGATCCCAAGCCAGGAGCCAGGAGCTTCCTCCAGGTCTCCCACATGGGTGCAAGAGCCCAAGGACTTGGGCCATCTTCTACTGCTTTCCCAGGCCATAGTAGAGCGCTGGACAGGATGCAGAGCAGCCAGGTCTAGAATTGGCACCCATATGGGATGCTGGCACTTCAGGCCAGGGCGTTAACCTACTGCGCCACAGTGTCGGCCCTGGAGATTCTGAGGTTGGGTTGTGCCCAGTCATGTGACAACCACAGTCTTTGTGTCCATTCTTTTTTTTTTTTTTTTTGACAGGCAGAGTGGACAGTGAGAGAGAGAGACAGAGAGAAAGGTCTTCCTTTTGCCGTTGGTTCACCCTCCAATGGCCGCCGCGGCCAGCGCGATGCGGCCGGCGCACCGCGCTGATCCGATGGCAGGAGCCAGGAGCCAGGTGCTTTTCCTGGTCTCCCATGGGGTGCAGGGCCCAGGCACCTGGGCCATCCTCCACTGCACTCCCTGGCCACAGCAGAGAGCTGGCCTGGAAGAGGGGCAACCGGGACAGAATCCGGTGCCCCGACCGGGACTAGAACCCGGTGTGCCGGCGCCGCAAGGCGGAGGATTAGCCTAGTGAGCCGCGGCGCCGGCCAGTCTTTGTGTCCATTCTGCGCCTGCTCATCATGGCTCATAGCTTATGAAAAGAAGAGAACAGGGGAAGGGATCCTGCAGAAATGATTTTGTGCTTTTCCTTTCCCAGCATAGTCTAGGGAATGTTATGCAGGAAAGGCAGGGCATAGCCAGTGCAGAAGAGCAGAGAATAACATGTGTGCAGGCAGGGATGCACAATTCTGACTGCAGAGCTAACACAGGTAAATAGGTTTAGGCAAATATTGAAATACACAGAAATAGAAGTGGCATCTGAAAGGAACCACTGCTCAAAGATTAAGGGAATTGGATGACAATTCCTGGGGGAAAGGAAGCTGTAATAAATGTGCTTTCTTTCTGAGTCCTTGTCAATGATGACAAGAATATATATGAAATGCTCTATCTACATGGATGATCAATTTCCGAAATAGTTTGTGATACAGGCAGTAAAAGGCATTAAATATAGAAACTAGAGAGCTATTTACCTATACAGTTTTCCCCCTTGTTAACATACAGCTAGGCTATGATTCCCAAGGGGTTTGGCCATATGAGTAAGTTCAGGTGCATGTTGGGGGGACTGACAGACTTCACCTACAGGCCTGGGCCATAAAACCTGCATTCTGTAATCTAGTCTCATCTGCCACCATCGGTATAGCTCCAGCAGAGCTTTAGAATGCTGAGGGATCCTATGCCACTCATTGGAAAGATTTGTGTTCCTGAATGGCCACACGGAGCCAAGAGTGTACCAAGGACAAGGCACTGAGACTGATCTGCTCCAGGTGGACTGACCCTGTAAAAATTACTTAGAACTTAGACTGATATTTTTTCAGAGAGGAGTACTTTATCACTGATGTTATTCAGAAAGATCAGCCCATGTTGATAATAAGGGGTACATTTTATTCTATTCTATTACTATTTTAAATCTCTGCAGATAATGTACCTTCACCTCCTTGCCATGGGAACCTTTCCCCTGTTCCATCCTCAGAACCCAACTATGTGTGGTAAACTCCTTTTCTTGTCCTGTAAACTATGATGGATAGAGATGTGAGGCATTGTAATAAACCATTGTTATAGAAAACACTGAGATAATCTAAAATGAGTAGAAGAATTAAGACATATGTATTTTTCAGAAACAAGGAAGATGATCAGAGACTCAGAAATATTGTTTGCATTTGAACCTAAAATGTTGTCTACTAGCGAAGTGATTGCCTCCACCACCCTCCCCTTAACCTCTGATATACAGTGGAACAAGCCTCCAGATGATGGGGTGTAGGGCAAAGAAGTGGGCTCAGGACTTGGCTTGGAGCTCAGTGCTGGGCCTGCCACAGTGAGACCCAGCACCAGATAAAGTCCATGGATCGTGTGTCTTTCCCCAGCCAGTGCTCACGGAGGGAGCTTCTACATCTTACTCAGCATCAGGCAGAGACCTGGGCCCTGCTGGCAGGGGCACATTTCAGTCTCTGTCAGCTTCTCATGGGCCTGGCTTGCACCCTCCAGATTTCACAGGGCCTGGTGATGGTGAGATGCAGGTGTGACCCACCTTCCTGTCAGCCTGGGCGACCATGGGCCTGCCTCCATCACCTTCCACCCAACTTCAGGAAGACAGTGAGTGGTAAGACTTCAACAGCAAGGAAGTAGGGCAAGAATGTGACCTTAAGGTTTTACCTTGGAGATTAGTGCCAGTCCCACCCTGATGAGACTCACACCAGATAGAGCACAAAGGTCTATATTCCCAGGTCATTTCTCACTTACACAGCCTTCATACTTGCTCTGGCATCAGGCCGAGACCTGTGTCCGTGGAAGACAAGCTTGTGTTTAGATTTACATCATCCATAGCCTTGCATGGGCTTACTGAGCATGGGCTTAGTACAAGATGCTGGAGGACTCAGTGGCTGCAACACCCATGTATGACATAGTTTAATGTCAGCCTGGACAACCAAGGGATTGCCTTCATTACCTCTCCCTCGACTTTTTGCAGGTAGCAAGAAATAAAATTCCCACTACTGGAGAATAGGGTATAAATGTGAGCACAGGACTATGTCTTAGAACTCAATACTGGGCTGGTAAAACTCAGCACTAGGAGGATTCCAACAATCTCATTTCCTAATATCTTTACTGTCTATATTTGTGGACTGAGGCTGAATCTGTCCTGGTTCCAAGAGGAGTCACCTGGCTAACAGGTGCTTAGGATGCCCATGTTCCATGAGAGTGCCTTGATTTGAATGTTGGATCTGGCTCCTAACTCTAGCTTTGTGCTAATGGGAATCCTGGGAGGAAGCAGTGATGGCTCAACTATTTGGCTTCCTGCCACCCTGTGGGAAGCCTGGATTAAATTTCTGTTCACAGTGTCAGTTGCCCTGGCCATGGTGGTTATTTGGGCAGTGAACCAGCAAATGGGAGGTCTCTGTATCTCTCTGTCCTCATTTTTCTTTCTGCCTCTTAAATAAATAAATAGTACCTACGGGGTTGAAACTCATCATGTGCTCCATTGACAGCCCCATCCCTGTTTCTGTCAATGTGAACCAACTGCCCAGGGTGAGCCCAAAGTGCCTGTGCACCCCATACACTCAGGCACACAAACCGCAGAAAGGAACTGTGTGTTCCTTAGTGTGAGCATGGAGCCCTCTGTGATGATCCTTCCCAGCACTCGGAATTCTGTATCTAGAGCCAGACCCAGTGATTACCCAAAGACCCAGCAACACCCCACGCCCTACCACGCAGTCACAGGGGTCAGGGGATCCGCTCTCTGCCCTGCAAGCCTCTCTATCCATGGAGAAAGCCATCCATTCCTGGAGCTGCCTGGCAGCCCAACAGAGGTTGGTTTAGGCTCCACTTTGGCAAGCTGACTCCAGTGCCTTGGTGGGGTGAGGGGAGAGGAGCAACATGCCCCACCCCCCTTCATGGAACTAATTGAGCAACTCTCTAGGCCATATTCAAAGTGGGTGGGGACTGCGGATTTATCCCTGGGACAAAGTTCACTAATGGTGGTGTGCTGCAGCAGTCTCCACTTGCCGAATTAAGATGATGCTTCCTCCTTGCTGGTTGCCGTGTACCTTGGTGGGGGGAGGAGAGAAAAGCAGCACTATGGATAAATATGGTAAACTTTTCCTTAATGAGGTGCTACTAGCCAATGAAATGCATCAAGTAGGAGTCCTCCGCCTGGGAAGGAAGGAAAGGGATTTGAAGTTACCGTTTAAGGGGTGGAGCGTTACTAGAATTTTCTGAAAATGGATAGTGCAACAAAAGTTACACATACAGAGAGAGAGAGAGAGAGAGAGAGAGAGAGAGATATCTTCTGTCTGCTGTTTCACTCCTCAAGTGGCCACAACAGCTGGGGCTAGGCCAGGCTGAAGCCAGGCGTCTGGAAATCCATTCAGGTATCCACATGGATTTCAGGGGCCTATGCCATATTTGGGCTTGGGCCATATTTGGGCCATATTTCTCTGCCTTCCCAGATGCATTTGCAGGGAGATGGATGGGAAGTGGAACAGCTGGGACTTGAACCAGCTGGGATTCTGGCATAGCAGGTGGCTGCTTAACCTGCTGTGGCACAATGCTGGCCCAAGTAAAAACTCTTTTTTTTTAACTTTTATTTAATGAATATAGATTTCCAAAGTACAGCTTATGGATTACATTGGCTTCCCCCCCTCCCCAATGACTTCCCTCCCACCCGCAACCCTCACCTTTCCCGCTCCCTCTCCCCTTCCATTCACATCAAGATTCATTTTCAGTTCTCTTTATATACAGAAGATCAGTTTAGTATACATTAAGTAAAGATTTCAACAGTTTGCACCCACATAGAAACACAAAGTGAAAAATGCTGTTTGAGTACTTGTTATACCATTAAATCTCAATGTACAGCATATTAAGGACAGAGATCCTACATGAGGAGTAAGTGCACAGTGACTCCTGTTGTTGACTTAACAAATTGACACTACTGTTTATGGCATCAGTAATCTCCCTATGCTCCAGTCAT